CGGACATAAAGCAACGTACTTTAAACCGAATTGAAATAAATAGTTTAGGTGCGGTGAAAATGTGTTGTATATACCATCATACACATCACTACACATCCTGAGAAAATCACTGCTGTAAAGGACTGGCCTATTCCTCAAAATAAGAAACAGGTTCGAAGTTTTCTAAGATTTTGTTCCTACTATAGAAAATTTGTGAAAGGTTTTTCTTTGATAGCAAAACCTCTGTTTATGCTCACTGAGAATCAGGTTACATTTGAGTGGTCTCAATTTTGTCAACAAGCATTTGAAGAATTGAAGCAAAAATTGATTTCTTCACCAATTTTATCTTTTCCTATGGAAAAGGGAGAGTTTATCCTTGACACTGATGCTTCAAATAATGGGATTGGAGCAGTTTTATCACAAGTTCAAGATCTAACTGAAAAAGTTATTGCTTATTTCAGCCGAATTTTGAGTAAGACAGAAAGGAATTATTGCATGACTCGAAGAGAATTATTGGCTATTGTGGAATCACTGAAGTCTTTTCATCATTATTTATATGGAAGGAAATTCTTAATTTGAACGGATCATATTTCATTTCGTTGGTTGATGTCTTTTAAAGATTTAGAAGGTCAATTAGCCCGTTGGTTAGAATAATTGCAGCAATATGAGTTTGAAATCATTCATCGGAAGGGACAACTACATCAAAATGCTGATGGGCTGTCAAGACGTCCTTGTGCGGAATTAGGTTGTGATTATTGTACAAAAGTAGAATTTAAAGAGAATTTGGTTGCTCGAATAGTTTTAGGGGAAGATCGTTTAGAAGAATGGCGGAAGAAACAATCGGAGGATCCAATTATTTCGATTTTCTTACGAGGAAAGGAATCAGGAATACGTCCTCCTCGACAAGAAATGGCCATGCAGGATATTTCGGCAAAAAATATATTGGTCCTATTGGAATGCATTAGTTTTGAAGAATGGTGTTCTATATAAAAAGTTGGAGTCTCCAAATTTTAAATCTATTATTTTTCAGATTATTGTCTCTAGAAATTGCATAAATCAAATATTGGAAGTAGCCTATGATTCCTCGTCCGGCGGTCATTTTGGGGTAAATAAGACGTTGGAGAAGATCCGGAAACGTTTTTACTGGGCTACATGTAAACATGATGTGGAGGATTGGTGTCGTTCGTGTAAAATTTGTGTAGCGAAACAAGGTCCTACAGGAAAAGAAAAATCTCCGTTACAAATTTATAATGTAGGTTCTCCATTTAAAAGGGTTCAGATGGATATACTTGGTCCTCTTCCCATTACTTCAGTAGATAATCGATATTTATTGATTGTAATCGACTGTTTCACTAAATGGGTTGAAGCTCTTCCATTAAAAAACATTAGAGCTGATACGGTAGCAGAAGCTTTTGTAAAGCAAGTAATTTCTCGTCATGGGGCTCCTTTGGAAATCCACATAGATCAAGGAAAAAACTTCGAGTCAAAAATTTTTCAGGAAATGACACGTCTATTAGGGATAAGGAAAACTAGGATGACAGCTTTACATCCTCAGTCTGACGGTCAGGTTGAACGTCATCATCAAACAATTTTGAATTATTTAAGTAAATTTATTTCAGGAAACCAGAAAGATTAGGATAGTTGGATTCCTATGTATTTAATGGCTTATCGATTTTCAAAACATGAAGCCACACGTGTTTCCCCGGCTGAATTGTATTTTGCACGGGATTTAAGATTGCCATTAGATTTGTTGCGAGGAAATTCTCCAGAGCAAGAGAGGGAGAGTTCTATTGGCAATTATATTTGGAAGTTAAAAAGGAAGTTGCAAGATATTCATAACAATGCTAGGCAACGTTTAAATTTTCAATTACTTCGATCTAAGACGCGTTATGATCAGAGGGCTAGGCAAGTTAATTTCGATATCGTTTAGAATGTATGGTTTTATAATCCTGGAAGATTTAAGGGGAGAGCGCCTAAATTACAAAACAATTGGGAAGGTCCTTATAAAATTATTAGGAAACTCAGCGATGTTGTATTCGGAATTCAGAAGTCGAGCAGGCATAAAAATAAAATAATTCATGCTGATAGATTGGCCCCATTTCATGAAAGGCAGAAATCGTATTAGGAAAGTTTTCGGAGCCCAAGTTTAAATAATAATAATAATTATATTTTACTATTTAATTCTTTTGATAGAGGAGAGTTCTACGGAAGGAAACGGAATTGTAAGGAAGAAGAGAATTCTTTTGATAGAAGACTGCCTCACCCGCGGTTTTTGAGCCATAGTTTTCCCGTCGGGTCTTAGGGCGAATGCTGAGGCAGGGGCTTGAGAAGTCCTCTTTTGAGGATGTCGGGTCGATGGTAGATACCCCCCTCTTGTCCGAAGATTTCCTTCTTGAGAGACGGCAGCATGGGATATTTCTTCAAGTCGGGCGAGGAGCGGAGGACAAGTTAAACAGTGAGAAGATTTGTTGGAGTCGTCTGGGACTTAAATATTGGTGCTCGGTAACTTGTAACAGGTAGAGCAAGAAACCGATTTGGTACCCTGAAGTTGACGAGAATGAAGAGGGTTCGATGGCAGTATCCTGTATATTCCTGGAGGGTGTGTGATTGAGGCCGGCAAATAATGGCGCTCGGTGACCTGTTGCACCTGCTCAGCAGAGCAGGAAGTCATTAAGGCACCCTGGAGTCAACGCCTTGAAAGAAGAGGACAACGGTCAACCCATTCAATTTAGAAGAGCCCTTCTACCATTGATCGTCGGGACGACAATCTTGAAGAGGGGGAGTAGTGTCCTGCGAGTCGTCTGTGGTAGTTAATCCTGAAGTTGCTCCCGTCTCTAAGAGATCATCTCCAAACACGTCGCTAAGACTTGGTTGACACTGGCAGAATGTACGTTAACCTCACACTTGTCAGTTCAATTGTTCAATCGTAAACGAGCTGGTGAAATTGAACGCATGTTTATAGCAGATTTTGAACAGTATAAAGGTATTGATCCATACACAACTGATGATCTCTTTAAAAAAATTTCATTGAAGGCACAAGAAGCAGCAAAGAAATATGTAAGATTTGTGATTAGAGGCAAACTTGGTCGCACAGTACCTGTGATATTAAACAATAGTTTATTAGAATGTATAAAATTAATATTACAATTTCGCGAAAAGGCTAAAGTTCCTGCAGAAAATCCATATATCTTTAATTTAGATATATGGATTTAATATAGACCAAAGGGTCTTCCAAGTTATAATCGAAAACGTTTTAAATATTTAAGAGCTTGTATTCTCATGAGGAAATTTTCTGAAGATTGTAATGCAAAAGTTGCACATTTATTACGCGGCACTAAGCTAAGAAAGCACATTGCTACATTTTGTATTAATAATCTTAATTTTATGTGAATTATGAGAATATTGTAGATATTTACATAAATCTTTCTAATAGCCGTAAAGGCACAAAATCTATCAAAATGTGCATATTAGCTATGTGACATTTATCAATGCAGTATATATATTAATTACAGAAACAAATGGTAATAGCTCATTTGTTGATACATCTAAATCAGAGATTACAGCTGGATCAATTAAAAAATTTAGATATATGGATTTAATATAGACCAAAGGGTCTTCCAAGTTATAATCGAAAACGTTTTAAATATTTAAGAGCTTGTATTCTCATGAGGAAATTTTCTGAAGATTGTAATGCAAAAGTTGCACATTTATTACGCGGCACTAAGCTAAGAAAGCACATTGCTACATTTTGTATTAATAATCTTAATTTTATGTGAATTATGAGAATATTGTAGATATTTACATAAATCTTTCTAATAGCCGTAAAGGCACAAAATCTATCAAAATGTGCATATTAGCTATGTGACATTTATCAATGCAGTATATATATTAATTACAGAAACAAATGGTAATAGCTCATTTGTTGATACATCTAAATCAGAGATTACAGCTGGATCAATTAAAAGACGTTCTAGTAAGTATTGTATAATAATATTTTATTTTAAATTTGTTATATATCATACTGAGTGCGTCTACGTAGGTGCGTGGATTGCGTGCGCGCGCGCATGTGTGTGTGTGTATGTCAGAAAGTTGCAAGCTATACTATGATATACTCTACTAGAGACCATTATGTGTTAACTATTGTATCAAAATATAAAGATAATATTTATAATTTAACAATTAATTATCAATGAGATAATCTTAAGTCTACATCTATATATTTACATTGCGTCACATTAAATATTAAATAGTTAAAATTCAACAATTTTGTAGTCTCTCAGTGAGATGATCGGTCGATCTAAATCCATAAATTTACATTACGCCACATTAAGTCTATTTAATTAACAATGCTTTAATTGATTTTATTGAGTTGTTAAAATTTAAAATAAGGAATTTAATTACTCTCGAATGATCAATAGCGTGATAGTTGATCAAGCAAATTATTTATAGTGCAATATAAATTATAATTTATAAGTTGAGGTAAGTAACTATAATTAGCTTATAGTTACTTACCTCAACTTATACAGCTGATACGGTATGAAAATTCTAATAATATTGTAGGCAATAACTAATATCTTTTTGTAGGTTCTCCATATGGTCACACAAAGCATTTAAAATAAGAAATTTAATTACTCTCGAATGATCAATAGCGTGATAGTTGATCAAGCACATTATTTATAGTGCAATATAAATTATAATTTATAAGTTGGTTCTATAAGTGCTTACCTCAACTTATACAGCTGATACGGTATGAAAATTCTAATATTATTGTAGGAAATAACTAATATCTTTTTGTAGGTTCTCTATATGGTCACACAAAGCGAAAACGATGGAGCGAGCATGAAAAAACAGTGGTGCTAACAGCGTTTGATCAAGTCATAAAAAGTGGCAAATTACCTTATTTACAAGCAATTCATGAAATTATAAAACAAAACCTCTGTTTAAAACATAGATCATCACCGCAAGTAAAAACATGATTGCATAATCAACTTAAAAAAATCAAACAACCAAAATCAAATTAATTTTCTATTCATTTTGTCATATTCTTTTGTATTTTTTTCTCTGAGTCAAATGTCAAATGTATTCTTGATGCCTCCGGATATTTTATTATTTACATATTCACAATATTGTAAACAATACTTTGTTAAGCTAAAAGCATAAGATATACAAGTTGAATTATATCAAATTCATGACATTAATATCAGCATAATTATTTTCTTAAAAAACAGATGCGATACTTTTATGTTTGTCAAATATGTCAAAATTGGTTTAATATATGTCATATTCTTTTGTATTTTTTTCTCCGAGTCAAATGTCAAATGTATTCTTGATGCCTCCAGATATTTTATTATTTACATATTCACAATATTGTAAACAATACTTTGTTAAGCTAAAAGCATAAGATATACAAGTTGAGTTATATCAAATTCATCACATTAACAATCAGCATAATTATTTTCTTAAAAAACAGATGCGATACTTTTATGTTTGTCAAATATGTCAAAATTGGTTTAATATATGTCATATTCTTTTGTATTTTTTTCTCTGAGTCAAATATCAAAATATCAAATGATGTCTTCGGATATTTAATTATTTACATATTCACGATATTGTAAACAATACTTTGTTAAGCTAAAAGCATAAGATATACAGATATACATATATCAAATTCATGACATTAATATCAGCATAATTATTTTCTTAAAAAACAGATGCAATACTTTTATGTTTATCAAATATGTCAAAATTGGTTTAATATATGTCATATTCTTTTGTATTTTTTTCTCCGAGTCAAATGTCAAATGTATTCTTGATGCCTCCAGATATTTTATTATTTACATATTCATGTAAACAATGTTAAGCTAAAAGCATAAGATATACAAGTTGAGTTATATCAAATTCATCACATTAACAATCAGCATAATTATTTTCTTATCTTATAGATGCGATACTTTTATGTTTGTCAAATATGTCAAAATTGGTTTAATATATGTCATATTCTTTTGTATTTTTTTCTCTGAGTCAAATATCAAATGTATTCTTGATGTCTTCGGATATTTAATTATTTACATATTCACGATATTGTAAACAATACTTTGTTAAGCTAAAAGCATAAGATATACAAGTTGAGTTATATCAAATTCATCACATTAACAATCAGCATAATTATTTTCTTAAAAAACAGATGCAATACTTTTATGTTTATCAAATATGTCAAAATTGGTTTAATATATGTCATATTCTTTTGTATTTTTTTCTCTGAGTCAAATATCAAATGTATTCTTGATGTCTTCGGATATTTAATTATTTACATATTCACGATATTGTAAACAATACTTTGTTAAGCTAAAAGCATAAGATATACAAGTTGAATTATATCAAATTCATGACATTAATATCAGCATAATTATTTTCTTAAAAAACAGATGCAATACTTTTATGTTTATCAAATATGTCAAAATTGGTTTAATATATGTCATATTCTTTTGTATTTTTTTCTCTGAGTCAAATATCAAATGTATTCTTGATGTCTTCGGATATTTAATTATTTACATATTCACGATATTGTAAACAATACTTTGTTAAGCTAAAAGCATAAGATATACAAGTTGAATTATATCAAATTCATGACATTAATATCAGCATAATTATTTTCTTAAAAAACAGATGCAATACTTTTATGTTTATCAAATATGTCAAAATTGGTTTAATATATGTCATATTCTTTTGTATTTTTTTCTCTGAGTCAAATATCAAATGTATTCTTGATGTCTTCGGATATTTAATTATTTACATATTCACGATATTGTAAACAATACTTTGTTAAGCTAAAAGCATAAGATATACAAGTTGAATTATATCAAATTCATGACATTAATATCAGCATAATTATTTTCTTAAAAAACAGATGCAATACTTTTATGTTTATCAAATATGTCAAAATTGGTTTAATATATGTCATATTCTTTTGTATTTTTTTCTCTGAGTCAAATATCAAATGTATTCTTGATGTCTTCGGATATTTAATTATTTACATATTCACGATATTGTAAACAATACTTTGTTAAGCTAAAAGCATAAGATATACAAGTTGAATTATATCAAATTCATGACATTAATATCAGCATAATTATTTTCTTAAAAAACAGATGCAATACTTTTATGTTTATCAAATATGTCAAAATTGGTTTAATATATGTCATATTCTTTTGTATTTTTTTCTCTGAGTCAAATATCAAATGTATTCTTGATGTCTTCGGATATTTAATTATTTACATATTCACGATATTGTAAACAATACTTTGTTAAGCTAAAAGCATAAGATATACAAGTTGAATTATATCAAATTCATGACATTAATATCAGCATAATTATTTTCTTAAAAAACAGATGCAATACTTTTATGTTTATCAAATATGTCAAAATTGGTTTAATATATGTCATATTCTTTTGTATTTTTTTCTCTGAGTCAAATATCAAATGTATTCTTGATGTCTTCGGATATTTAATTATTTACATATTCACGATATTGTAAACAATACTTTGTTAAGCTAAAAGCATAAGATATACAAGTTGAATTATATCAAATTCATGACATTAATATCAGCATAATTATTTTCTTAAAAAACAGATGCAATACTTTTATGTTTATCAAATATGTCAAAATTGGTTTAATATATGTCATATTCTTTTGTATTTTTTTCTCTGAGTCAAATATCAAATGTATTCTTGATGTCTTCGGATATTTAATTATTTACATATTCACGATATTGTAAACAATACTTTGTTAAGCTAAAAGCATAAGATATACAAGTTGAATTATATCAAATTCATGACATTAATATCAGCATAATTATTTTCTTAAAAAACAGATGCAATACTTTTATGTTTATCAAATATGTCAAAATTGGTTTAATATATGTCATATTCTTTTGTATTTTTTTCTCTGAGTCAAATATCAAATGTATTCTTGATGTCTTCGGATATTTAATTATTTACATATTCACGATATTGTAAACAATACTTTGTTAAGCTAAAAGCATAAGATATACAAGTTGAATTATATCAAATTCATGACATTAATATCAGCATAATTATTTTCTTAAAAAACAGATGCAATACTTTTATGTTTATCAAATATGTCAAAATTGGTTTAATATATGTCATATTCTTTTGTATTTTTTTCTCTGAGTCAAATATCAAATGTATTCTTGATGTCTTCGGATATTTAATTATTTACATATTCACGATATTGTAAACAATACTTTGTTAAGCTAAAAGCATAAGATATACAAGTTGAATTATATCAAATTCATGACATTAATATCAGCATAATTATTTTCTTAAAAAACAGATGCAATACTTTTATGTTTATCAAATATGTCAAAATTGGTTTAATATATGTCATATTCTTTTGTATTTTTTTCTCTGAGTCAAATATCAAATGTATTCTTGATGTCTTCGGATATTTAATTATTTACATATTCACGATATTGTAAACAATACTTTGTTAAGCTAAAAGCATAAGATATACAAGTTGAATTATATCAAATTCATGACATTAATATCAGCATAATTATTTTCTTAAAAAACAGATGCAATACTTTTATGTTTATCAAATATGTCAAAATTGGTTTAATATATGTCATATTCTTTTGTATTTTTTTCTCTGAGTCAAATATCAAATGTATTCTTGATGTCTTCGGATATTTAATTATTTACATATTCACGATATTGTAAACAATACTTTGTTAAGCTAAAAGCATAAGATATACAAGTTGAATTATATCAAATTCATGACATTAATATCAGCATAATTATTTTCTTAAAAAACAGATGCAATACTTTTATGTTTATCAAATATGTCAAAATTGGTTTAATATATGTCATATTCTTTTGTATTTTTTTCTCTGAGTCAAATATCAAATGTATTCTTGATGTCTTCGGATATTTAATTATTTACATATTCACGATATTGTAAACAATACTTTGTTAAGCTAAAAGCATAAGATATACAAGTTGAATTATATCAAATTCATGACATTAATATCAGCATAATTATTTTCTTAAAAAACAGATGCAATACTTTTATGTTTATCAAATATGTCAAAATTGGTTTAATATATGTCATATTCTTTTGTATTTTTTTCTCTGAGTCAAATATCAAATGTATTCTTGATGTCTTCGGATATTTAATTATTTACATATTCACGATATTGTAAACAATACTTTGTTAAGCTAAAAGCATAAGATATACAAGTTGAATTATATCAAATTCATGACATTAATATCAGCATAATTATTTTCTTAAAAAACAGATGCAATACTTTTATGTTTATCAAATATGTCAAAATTGGTTTAATATATGTCATATTCTTTTGTATTTTTTTCTCTGAGTCAAATATCAAATGTATTCTTGATGTCTTCGGATATTTAATTATTTACATATTCACGATATTGTAAACAATACTTTGTTAAGCTAAAAGCATAAGATATACAAGTTGAATTATATCAAATTCATGACATTAATATCAGCATAATTATTTTCTTAAAAAACAGATGCAATACTTTTATGTTTATCAAATATGTCAAAATTGGTTTAATATATGTCATATTCTTTTGTATTTTTTTCTCTGAGTCAAATATCAAATGTATTCTTGATGTCTTCGGATATTTAATTATTTACATATTCACGATATTGTAAACAATACTTTGTTAAGCTAAAAGCATAAGATATACAAGTTGAATTATATCAAATTCATGACATTAATATCAGCATAATTATTTTCTTAAAAAACAGATGCAATACTTTTATGTTTATCAAATATGTCAAAATTGGTTTAATATATGTCATATTCTTTTGTATTTTTTTCTCTGAGTCAAATATCAAATGTATTCTTGATGTCTTCGGATATTTAATTATTTACATATTCACGATATTGTAAACAATACTTTGTTAAGCTAAAAGCATAAGATATACAAGTTGAATTATATCAAATTCATGACATTAATATCAGCATAATTATTTTCTTAAAAAACAGATGCAATACTTTTATGTTTATCAAATATGTCAAAATTGGTTTAATATATGTCATATTCTTTTGTATTTTTTTCTCTGAGTCAAATATCAAATGTATTCTTGATGTCTTCGGATATTTAATTATTTACATATTCACGATATTGTAAACAATACTTTGTTAAGCTAAAAGCATAAGATATACAAGTTGAATTATATCAAATTCATGACATTAATATCAGCATAATTATTTTCTTAAAAAACAGATGCAATACTTTTATGTTTATCAAATATGTCAAAATTGGTTTAATATATGTCATATTCTTTTGTATTTTTTTCTCTGAGTCAAATATCAAATGTATTCTTGATGTCTTCGGATATTTAATTATTTACATATTCACGATATTGTAAACAATACTTTGTTAAGCTAAAAGCATAAGATATACAAGTTGAATTATATCAAATTCATGACATTAATATCAGCATAATTATTTTCTTAAAAAACAGATGCAATACTTTTATGTTTATCAAATATGTCAAAATTGGTTTAATATATGTCATATTCTTTTGTATTTTTTTCTCTGAGTCAAATATCAAATGTATTCTTGATGTCTTCGGATATTTAATTATTTACATATTCACGATATTGTAAACAATACTTTGTTAAGCTAAAAGCATAAGATATACAAGTTGAATTATATCAAATTCATGACATTAATATCAGCATAATTATTTTCTTAAAAAACAGATGCAATACTTTTATGTTTATCAAATATGTCAAAATTGGTTTAATATATGTCATATTCTTTTGTATTTTTTTCTCTGAGTCAAATATCAAATGTATTCTTGATGTCTTCGGATATTTAATTATTTACATATTCACGATATTGTAAACAATACTTTGTTAAGCTAAAAGCATAAGATATACAAGTTGAATTATATCAAATTCATGACATTAATATCAGCATAATTATTTTCTTAAAAAACAGATGCAATACTTTTATGTTTATCAAATATGTCAAAATTGGTTTAATATATGTCATATTCTTTTGTATTTTTTTCTCTGAGTCAAATATCAAATGTATTCTTGATGTCTTCGGATATTTAATTATTTACATATTCACGATATTGTAAACAATACTTTGTTAAGCTAAAAGCATAAGATATACAAGTTGAATTATATCAAATTCATGACATTAATATCAGCATAATTATTTTCTTAAAAAACAGATGCAATACTTTTATGTTTATCAAATATGTCAAAATTGGTTTAATATATGTCATATTCTTTTGTATTTTTTTCTCTGAGTCAAATATCAAATGTATTCTTGATGTCTTCGGATATTTAATTATTTACATATTCACGATATTGTAAACAATACTTTGTTAAGCTAAAAGCATAAGATATACAAGTTGAATTATATCAAATTCATGACATTAATATCAGCATAATTATTTTCTTAAAAAACAGATGCAATACTTTTATGTTTATCAAATATGTCAAAATTGGTTTAATATATGTCATATTCTTTTGTATTTTTTTCTCTGAGTCAAATATCAAATGTATTCTTGATGTCTTCGGATATTTAATTATTTACATATTCACGATATTGTAAACAATACTTTGTTAAGCTAAAAGCATAAGATATACAAGTTGAATTATATCAAATTCATGACATTAATATCAGCATAATTATTTTCTTAAAAAACAGATGCAATACTTTTATGTTTATCAAATATGTCAAAATTGGTTTAATATATGTCATATTCTTTTGTATTTTTTTCTCTGAGTCAAATATCAAATGTATTCTTGATGTCTTCGGATATTTAATTATTTACATATTCACGATATTGTAAACAATACTTTGTTAAGCTAAAAGCATAAGATATACAAGTTGAATTATATCAAATTCATGACATTAATATCAGCATAATTATTTTCTTAAAAAACAGATGCAATACTTTTATGTTTATCAAATATGTCAAAATTGGTTTAATATATGTCATATTCTTTTGTATTTTTTTCTCTGAGTCAAATATCAAATGTATTCTTGATGTCTTCGGATATTTAATTATTTACATATTCACGATATTGTAAACAATACTTTGTTAAGCTAAAAGCATAAGATATACAAGTTGAATTATATCAAATTCATGACATTAATATCAGCATAATTATTTTCTTAAAAAACAGATGCAATACTTTTATGTTTATCAAATATGTCAAAATTGGTTTAATATATGTCATATTCTTTTGTATTTTTTTCTCTGAGTCAAATATCAAATGTATTCTTGATGTCTTCGGATATTTAATTATTTACATATTCACGATATTGTAAACAATACTTTGTTAAGCTAAAAGCATAAGATATACAAGTTGAATTATATCAAATTCATGACATTAATATCAGCATAATTATTTTCTTAAAAAACAGATGCAATACTTTTATGTTTATCAAATATGTCAAAATTGGTTTAATATATGTCATATTCTTTTGTATTTTTTTCTCTGAGTCAAATATCAAATGTATTCTTGATGTCTTCGGATATTTAATTATTTACATATTCACGATATTGTAAACAATACTTTGTTAAGCTAAAAGCATAAGATATACAAGTTGAATTATATCAAATTCATGACATTAATATCAGCATAATTATTTTCTTAAAAAACAGATGCAATACTTTTATGTTTATCAAATATGTCAAAATTGGTTTAATATATGTCATATTCTTTTGTATTTTTTTCTCTGAGTCAAATATCAAATGTATTCTTGATGTCTTCGGATATTTAATTATTTACATATTCACGATATTGTAAACAATACTTTGTTAAGCTAAAAGCATAAGATATACAAGTTGAATTATATCAAATTCATGACATTAATATCAGCATAATTATTTTCTTAAAAAACAGATGCAATACTTTTATGTTTATCAAATATGTCAAAATTGGTTTAATATATGTCATATTCTTTTGTATTTTTTTCTCTGAGTCAAATATCAAATGTATTCTTGATGTCTTCGGATATTTAATTATTTACATATTCACGATATTGTAAACAATACTTTGTTAAGCTAAAAGCATAAGATATACAAGTTGAATTATATCAAATTCATGACATTAATATCAGCATAATTATTTTCTTAAAAAACAGATGCAATACTTTTATGTTTATCAAATATGTCAAAATTGGTTTAATATATGTCATATTCTTTTGTATTTTTTTCTCTGAGTCAAATATCAAATGTATTCTTGATGTCTTCGGATATTTAATTATTTACATATTCACGATATTGTAAACAATACTTTGTTAAGCTAAAAGCATAAGATATACAAGTTGAATTATATCAAATTCATGACATTAATATCAGCATAATTATTTTCTTAAAAAACAGATGCAATACTTTTATGTTTATCAAATATGTCAAAATTGGTTTAATATATGTCATATTCTTTTGTATTTTTTTCTCTGAGTCAAATATCAAATGTATTCTTGATGTCTTCGGATATTTAATTATTTACATATTCACGATATTGTAAACAATACTTTGTTAAGCTAAAAGCATAAGATATACAAGTTGAATTATATCAAATTCATGACATTAATATCAGCATAATTATTTTCTTAAAAAACAGATGCAATACTTTTATGTTTATCAAATATGTCAAAATTGGTTTAATATATGTCATATTCTTTTGTATTTTTTTCTCTGAGTCAAATGTCAAATGTATTCTTGATGCCTCCAGATATTTTATTATTTACATATTCACAATATTGTAAACAATACTTTGTTAAGCTAAAAGCATAAGATATACAAGTTGAGTTATATCAAATTCATGACATTAATATCAGCATAATTATTTTCTTAAAAAACAGATGCAATACTTTTATATTTGTCAAACATGTCAAAATTGGTTTAATATAAGTAGTGTTAATAGGCGGGTTCTAAGCTATGGTCCTCTGAGGGGCGGTGAGGGGCGAGGGAAAACCATGGCGAGGGGGGATGACGTCACGCGGGCGCGGGAGCATAATCGGCACGGTGTATTACAAAGGGCGGGTGCCGATGTCCGGATGCTCGAATTTATAAACATTATAAACAAATAACGTCTAGCACTATTGCACGTGCAGCATTACTTAATTTAAAGGTGATAAGGCGAGCGCCGATGTCCGGCTGCCATAATTTATTATAAACAACATAGAACCATCGCGGCGGGCTCTTCATTTTTTTTTCGTAGGAAGAGCCGTTCGCACACTATTGCGCGTAACATTAGAATTAGATGATAAGGCGAGCGCCAATATCCGGCTGCTATAATTTATAAATAAACAAAATAGAACCATTGCGGTGTCCTGTATTACGCGGACCGATGCGACAGGATATTCTCGTCCGAGTTTCCAACGCGAACGTTTAACAAGTTAAAGTGTTTAAAGTGATCAAAAAAATTTTTAAAATGCCATCGTTGATCGAGTTGGTGCTGTGTCGAGGTCGATTGAATGCGGCACGATGGGCGCAGGATCTAGTAATGGGGCTGTTGAGAGCCCTATTGAATCTGGTGGTATTTTAAAGAGTAAGTAATATTTGTGCATTTTATATCATATTAATTATTTATAGTATATATTATAATTTAATTTAATTTATAGTATCAGTCTACTAGCGACATCCAGATTCCCGGTTTTATGAATTTTGAACACCGGCGATTTTTACGAGCGCTGCGACGACACGAGCGCGAGTTCCGCGAGGACGTGTGGGAGGATAACGGCCCCGACGGCCTCCATGTAGACCTGAGACGTCTCTTCGGGCTCGAGCCCTACGAGGAAGACGCTTTGGAAGAACCGTGGGACGAGCCACCGAGCAAGAGGTCGAAAAATTAATTGTAAGTATCCATTTTTAAAATTTCATAATATTTAAATTAATATACTGATAAGACTTGTATTTTTCTGTTTCAGATGGAGCGCCACCTTATTATGGTAATTATTTACTATAACGGACCCAGCTCCAATGACGTTGACCTTGACATATGTTGTCAAGAATATAATCCTGAGTAACTTTTCCTTATAATTTAATCGGCGGTCATTGTTTATTAAAAAGTTATTAACATATAAAGTTTGAGAAATAAAACGTAATTTTTAAATGAGTTTGTAATTTCCACGCAAGAAGCGAGGTTCATCCGCATCAGAACGTTGTATAACTCAAATTAAATTTTCAGAAATAGGTTTGAGTTAGGTTATATCTTCCGAAAGTGGAGCCCCTCCATAGGGGGTGGGGGGCGGAACCCACTGCGTTCACGCATATACTTTCCCATTCACACAACAATCGTGAGATGAACCTCGCTTCGCGTTGTAAAGTATATGCGTAGACACAGTGGGTTCCGGCCCCCCCCCCCTACGGGGGGGCTCCACTTCCGAAAAATATAACCTAACCCAAATATATTTCTGATTTAAAACTAAAATTTGATTCAATTTACGTTATATAACTCAAACTAAATTTTCGTTTCGAATCTAACTTTAACTTTAAATATCTTAAAAATTATAAGAGACCGCCGATTAAGTTATAAGAAAAAGTTACTCAGGATTATGTCCTTGATAACATATATCAAGGTCAACATCATTGGAGCTGGGTCCGTTATAGTAAATAATTACCATTATTATTTTTATTAATATTATTTTTATTATTATTTTTTAATACATACACACACACATACACATTTAAACGCGCGCGCGCACACACACAAACACACACACACATTTATATTTTATACACTAATATTAAATAAACTTATTATTATTATATAAAAGTGTCAATTGTTTTTGCGCATCCTTCTTTCCTTTTCCTTCTCGTGGACACGCGAACGCTATCTCTCTCTCTCCCACGTACATACGAACGTCTCGCGCTATCCTTCTTTCACGCCCATAGAATATCATTAGCGCTATCCTTCTCCTATATGCATGCGATCGCCTCGCGCTATCTCCCACATACCCACCGTCTTACGAACGCTATCCTTCTCACACAGCCTCGCGTACGCCTCGCGCTATCCTTGTCTTACGTTCGTATGAACACCTCGCGCTATCCTTCTCCCACACCCATAGCAATGTCTACACCGTTGTATCTGTTGTGACGTACATAACGAAAAATTCTGGTCGCGCGAAGAAAAGTCAAGTGTTTTTCCTTCGCCCGTGCTCTCCGACACACTTGAACGCGCCAGTAATAAACATTGCCGCAGCAGATTTGGATTTTTTTTCCGATGCAACAGGATCGTTCGAGCTACAGCGCGAACATGTCACAAAATTTTTGTACGTGCACGTACGTGTATGTTATGCTGCCGCATTATTGGGTAAGTAAAATGCTTAATGTTTTGCAATATATTGTGTGTGTGTGTGTGTGTGTGTGTGTGTGTATTTGTGATGTGTTAATTAAATAATTTTTTATTATGTTAATTAAAAATTATATTTCAGTTGATAGAGGAAACTCGATTTTTAAACATCACGCATCGACGGTACACGCGGTGGATGCGCCGCAATCAACGATGGGAGTTAGAAAACTTGTGGGGCGACACCCGCGAAGCCTGCGAGTGTGCAAAGGTTCACCCTAACCAATACGATGATATATTTAACCTACGGCCTCTTTTCGGCCTGGAACCATATGAAGAAGAAGAACGGTGGTAACTGTAAGTACCTTTTAATTTATATTATATTCTAAATTTTATAATACATTAAGACTAGATTAATATATTAATAAAAACTTTGTCTGTTTCAGATAGAGAGTTACGATTTTTATTATATATTTCATCTTTTGTATTTTCATATTTTTTTGTATTTTTATATTTTTTATATTATTATTTTCACACACACATTTATATGATACACACAATTTTTAAATAAACTTATTATTATATAAAAGTGTCGATTGTTTCTACGCCTTCTTCTTTTCTTTTCCTACTCGTGCATGCCTCACGCTATCTCTTTATCTCTCTCTCTCTCTCTCTCTCTCCCTCTCTTTCTCTCTCTCTCTCTCCCAAGTGCATGCGAACGCCATCCTTTTCCTATGCCAATGCAAACGCTATCCTTCTCCCACATGCATGCGAACGAAATCCTTCTTCCACATGCATGCGTACGCCTCGCGCGCTATCCTTCTCCCACATGCATGCGATCGCCTCGCGTCATCCTTGTCTTACACTCATTCGGACGTTCCCTACTCGCGAACGCCTCGCGCTCTCCTTTTCCAACTCGCAAACGCTTTGCGCTATCCTCTCCCACAACCATAGAATATCATTAGCGCTATCCCTCTCCCACACACATGTGGACACCGTACTTTCGCGTTCCTCTCCCCGCGGACCCCTCGTCCATCGGTCGCGCCGCAGTTACATATCTATCTTATATGCGAGGAAGGGAAGCAAAATAATCATTTTTTTTATTTTTTCATTTTTTAACACATTTATTTATATTAACGTACATCATCTCGTCTCAAGGTTTCAGACAAAAGTTCATCCACAGCATACGCTAATAGTTCGCAATCTATGACAGATGTTTTATCATAAACGTCGCGCAAGACTTCGACCGCAGTATCTCTCTCGGCACCAAACATACTACCTTGCAAATTAACGACAAGTCGATCAAAACTCTCATTTACGGCTTTTATATTCTCACACAGTTTCAAATATTCAAAATCTGCGTACCAAAATACGTGGTATACAACGAGATTTACCACATCTGAAAAAATACAATTAAATATGAAATAGCATGGAAAAAACATATATGAAAAAAAAAATATATATAAAACATTTGTAATACTTACAAATCAAGTGATTTTTTGTATGGTTTAATTTCATTTCGTGGTTTCTTGTATAGCTTAATTTCGTCTCGTGGAACGTAATAATTCACGCGTTTGCAACCGTTGCTGGTGCTTCCTTCAGCGGAGTACATTTTGTCTCTCGGTTATGAGAAGTGGACCGTTGGTATTAGCAGTTGACGCGACACTGATCGTATAAAAATTAACCGAGTATACGTGACGCTTATTTTTCAAAAGTATGATGTGGTGGGAGATCAATGCTCTAAAAATTTAGGAGAAAAGGAAACGGTCAACGTCTGATGTTGAGGGAGATTAATGCTCAGAAAATTTAGGAGAAGGGGAAACGGCCAACGTATGATGTGGTGGGAGATTAATACTCTGAAAATTTAGGAGAAGGGGAAACGGTCAACGTTAAAAAGAATTCTTAGAAACAACTCGCGAGGAAAGGAGTGGGGAGAATAAGAAATAAAAAAAACGTTAAATACGTTTACACATTTTATTTTTAAAAATATCGCAATTTTTTTTATGTTGCGACCACCAATTAAATATTTTTAATGCATTCTGTAATGCGCAATTCTTACCATGTTTTCCGCATCGTATAGTATTAGTAACATCTAGATTATTTAAAATAATGCGCCAGAACGATCCCATTTCTCAGCACAGCCACCTCCTTTACAACAAATTTCATCCCGACAAAGAATCCTTGCAGGTCCACGAACATTAGTACGGACATAACGTTTTTATATGAATACGTCGAGAAGAAGACTGCGATTGATCCTGATGCATTATAGGTTTTATATCGTCTCATCCCACCACACTTAGGTGATTTTGCGTACAACATTGGTCAACAGGTTGTACTGAATCACGCGATCGTATATGATGAGACAGTACGCAGTAATATTCGGCGGCACGTTTTTCTTACACTCGAATTCCAATCGCACATCCACGGTTGCGCTCTTGACCGATTCGTTTTGTCGAGAGCAATCGATGATCACGAACGGACCGTTAAGTAGAAACTGCGTGACTGTTAGACTCGGCTCGAGATACTCGTATCCGTAATAGTTTTTGCAGAAACGCTGGTACATGTCGTACAGAATCGACCATCTGTTTTTATCGAAATCTAGATTCATATCGTCGT